AATATACGTGTCGTCGAAACGCACAACCACACGCGTGCTTCTGTACGTATGTATGCATGTGTGTGTGTGTGTGATCCACTCTGCGTGCGCGACCGCCACGTGTGGACGCGCGCGCGTCTGCGTCTGTGTGTGTGTGTGTGTATGTGGGTGTAGTATGCACGTATGTACCCAGTTTTTTTTCTCCTTTTTTCTTCTTCGTATGTTCATTAACTATATACTTTGGCTTCGTGTCTGACCACCCCCCAATTAATTTGCATTCTTCCCTTCTTTTTTTTTAATTTTTCGTTTAACGCTAATGGCAGCACAGATACAATGTTTCACACCTCTCTCTCTCTCTCTCTCGCTCTCGCTCGCTCGCTTTCATTCACCACACACAATAATCGTTTCAAACACGTGCAATCCTAACGTGCCCGAGTCTTACTCTCCCTTCTTCTCTTTCTCTTATAGAAATAACGCGTTTTATGAATCACTTTTTATACTCTCTCTCTCTTCTCTTCTTCTTCCTCCTCCTCTTGTAACGCGCGTCTAGCGGCTCGCCTGCGCACGGAAACCGTGAAAAAACCGCCGCCCCGTACCGATGGTCCTTCTCAATCGCGCGAATTTAAATACATTACGCTATATGTATATTGTTCTTTTTTTGTTCTTTCTTTTGTGTTTTATACAAGTACGCAACGGATACGCGCCGGAATTAAATTTATCGTATGCACTACGAGAAGGAAAGAACCTATATGTTTACGTACTTTATGTATACGTGTGTACTTCGAGAAGAAACGAATCGCTATGCAACGCGTTATTATAGTTACGTTTAATATAAGCCGCGTGGCTCCTTCCTCTTTTCCCTCTCTTGTCCCTCTCCTCTATTTTCGGCGAAACTGATATCGCGCTGCGTCGTCCTCGAACCCTTTCCCTCGTATCCCCTTTTTCATTTTCCCCCCTCTATCGCTCTTCTCTAATTCGCGGAGAAACGCGCGAGATCGTCTAGAACGACGATCCGCTCTTTTTTTTTTAGGGAAAGAAAATGAAAAAAGAAACACGCATCTCGCGGCTCTTCTCGACATGACGCGATTCACACAGTCCTCCTCTTCGCTTTTCTACACGGGTTCCCCTCTTTCAGACGCGACGACACGCGCTCTTCTCGCGTCTGATCTCGAGAATCCTCGATCGTGACAGAAAAGGGGAGGGAATGCGATGTAATCACCAGGCCCTTTTCCCAGCGGGGGACTTACATCGACATGTAGATTCGTGTGCAGCTAGAGCGATCGAACTGTACGTATTTACGTAATTAAAGAATAAATGCAACAACAGCCTTTGTCTCGTAAAAGTACGGCGATTTATCAAGTTAATCGGCTACAAACACCCGCGGGTCCCTTAAATAATCGAATTGGAAACGAAGAACGTTGCACGTCTGTGAAAACGGACAAACAGAAGAATACCGATGCTTTTCCCGTGTAACGCACGTATAATAATGACTAGAACGAATATATGCGTATGTATGTACATGTCTGTGTGTTAAATCGTTGGAGCCTTCGGGGTGGGAAAAAAGGGGTAAATCGGAGCTTTTCTCTTTCCAAAAAACCGCCACTCTATTCGCTAACGATTTACGCTAGAATAATCCTAAAAGTCCGAACGAAGAAAATTTGGTGCAAGAGGCGCGCGGCGCGGCACTCGGCTGTACAGGGTGTCCCGTAACTCTTCGAACACCTGGAAAGGGGGGGTTGCTGGGGTGACTCTGAACAACTTTTTCCTTCACCAAAATGTTGTACGAAGCTTCGTTTTCGAGTTATTAACGAGAAACACTGGCCAATCAGAGCGCGCGTAGAGCCCCCGCTCAGGGACGAACGAACACAGTTCCACGAACAGAGATTCACGCGTACGCTTGTTCACGATAGCGCGCGAGTGAATCTCTGTTCGCTCGTCCCTGAGCGCAGGCTCTGATTGGCCAGTGTTTTTCGTTAATAACTCGAAAACGAAGCTTCAAACTGGATTTTGGATGAGGAAAAAGTTGTTCAGGGTCACTCCAGCAACCCCCCATTTCCGGTTGGTCCCAGCGTTAGTTCTCGAGATCAAACGCATCGTATTTCAGCGGAGTCGACGAAAGAAAGACAGATTTCTAGCCACCACGGAGATAAATGCCAACTAATTCAATATATTTTTATCGATCGAATGCAACTAATGGCGTATAATTATCTGCAGGCTGCTGCTCCCCCCACCCCCTTAAACGGTACTTACGAATACCTAATTAAGTGAGAATTTCTCGTTACGCCTATGCAACGGGTAAAATCAGGCTTTCTTCTTTTTTTTTCTTTCTTAGACGTACTACTTTATAATCTCTCTCTCTCTCTTATTTTCACGCTCTCTGTTGTTCACCTTCTGTTTCTCTCTTTTTTTTTTTTTTTTTTTTGGGTAAATCTCCCTAGGTTTCATTTACCGCTTTTTCTTCGTTCTCGTTTTTAACTTCTTCTCTTCCTTTTTTTTCTTTGTCATTTTTCACTTCAAACACGCACACATTTCACATATAGAAAAAAGTCGCGAGCACGAGGTCGCGCAGAACACGCCGGCGAAGAGAAAGGGGATCCTCGTTTGAACCCTATCCCGCTTTCAACTTCGTCAATTTTTACTATTCTTCTTTTGTTCCTCGCGCGATTCTTGCGCAAACTCGTCGTCCACGTTTCACCCCTTCTCAATTAAATCTTCACTCCTTTCTCTCTCTCTCTCTCTCTCTCTCTTTTAATTCTATCATACTCTCTCTCTCTCTCACTTTCTCTCCCTCTCTTCTACTGTACACGCTTTGTTTTTTTTTCTTTTTTTTTTGTTACTCTTTAGAAAATAATTTCTATCTCTGTGAATCTTCCCTGTGGTATCGTTATCTCTTCTCTGTTTGTTTCTTTTTTTGGTAATTTTTTTAAACATTTTTACTATTTTTCTTTTCGATTATCTTTTGTAGCGACAGCGTCGAAGAGCCGGGCGAGCAGAAAACACCGGGGCGCCTCGAGGACAGGAAGAAGCGTACGCGTTTCCGGTTCCCGAGGAGCGATCCCGGAGGCTCTGCCGATTTTGCTCGCACGGCCGATTAGAATTATCAGTGCGTACGTCGCGAGAGACCTCCTACAATCTCCACTTCCCTCTTCTTCTTCTTCTTTTTCGTCTTTTTCTCTTTATTATCCTTTTCACCGTCGAACCAGCCGCGACGCGGGGATCGCCGATTCTTAAACACGAGACGACATCGAGAAACCGCGAGGGAAACGAACGGCTGAAACGGAAAATAGATCGGATCCGAGATCGATGGGAGGAAGTCCCCGAGTTACTCTTTTCCCTTCCGACAAGACACCCGTGGATTCTGTACTTCATACTCTCTTCCCTTTACTAGTTCGTCCATCTTTCTTCTCTTTTCTGGCATACTCTTTTGGTACAATTAAGAAATACGCGCGTCACGTAACTGTGCTGTGAGATATTATAGTCTGCCTCGTAAATTTAGAATTACAGCTATCATACATTATTAAAAATATGTACAAAATCTGTGTGTGTATGTATGTGTGTGAACCTGTTACTGTGTACGTTTCCAAAACCGAACCGATTAACCTCGTACAAATGAAACGAGTTAACACGCCCCTGATAGAATGTCCGATGAAAGAAAGAAACGCGTGTGTTCTTGTCAGATCTTCTGTCTTTGTATATGTAAATAGGTAGTATAGTACGAAGCACTGGATGAGAGAATCGGGGATTACAAAATTGCTAAAACGATCGAGTATCACGGCTACACAGAGAAGCCGGCAAGAGACCGGCGAACGCGTGTACAGGGAGCATATTCTCACGAGATATGTATACATATATATATATAGATAGACGTATGTATGTATACAGTACTCGAAAATCTGCGACGAAAAATCGCGATGTTCGCCGATCCCGCGGCTAAATCGGAAACGTATCGATACGAGTATAGGCGCGTGACAGGAGAACTTAAAACGGAGAAAATTCGCGCTAACGAGAGAGAAAAAGCACCGTTTACAATTGTCGATAACGAGAATGATAAGTAGGTGCAGCCGTCGATATTAAACGGTTCGATTAGTAATAATAATCGCGTTGCCTTTATATCTCATTTTCTTCGCCAAATTTGTCCTCGCTTAATCTTAGTACCCCATCCTTAAGTGGCTGTATGAACCGTAAATGTTATCAATAATCCTATTTAATATTGCACGCTCCGGCACACGAGGGTTTACTGCTAAGCTGTCGTTTATCTCAAGATAGCCAGCCCCCTTTTCTTCTTCTTCTTCTTCTCTCACGTATGAACTTAATTACAACGCATTGTTCTATTTTGTATGCATTTCGCGGAACGATCCGCGAGGGTAATCCCCCTCTTTCGCGTATTTGCACTATTAGCGGATCGTTCGATAGAACGGAAAGGAATTTGTGTAACAAAGTTGTCCATTTTCGTCGAGTACCGACGACTCACCGAACGAACTTTTCTTCTTTTCTTCTTTTCAGCTTTTCCTCCTTTCTTCCGTGGTCCCTGGAACGGGACCGATTAATTATTTCGTCTAACTCTCGCCGTGGGTATCGTTCGTTTCATCTTCCTTTCCATTGTTTTCGGTTCTCCTTTGATCTTCGTTTGATCCGCGCCTCTCCTTCGATATCAGCAACACGCGAACCGCACAGTTCTGTATCTTCTTTTTCTTTTTTTTTTGGTTTTGTTACTCGGTACTTATTATCAGCTACGCTTAAAGACCTAAGCTCGTATTATTATCGTTAAGTCGGATGTACCGTTTTCCTTTTTTTTTCTTTTTTTTCGCTTTTAATCGAATATTATCGACTATTAAACACGCTACGTGAACTGTCACCTCGCCGAGCTGTACTTGTCCGGTGCTCAGTGTTGCCGAAGAACGTCCAGTCAGTATGTGTTTCATTGAGCCTCGAATTTCGTTCCTCGTACGCTGGAAGGCCCCGGATAATTATCTTTCTCTTCCCTATCGCGGCCCTTCCAGCATCGCAACAAAGCACGTTTAACTTCATCTTACACGCTACGCGAACTCGATTTTACTCGTCAGTCCTTGACCCCCCGATTTTCACGTGTCCTCGCAGGTTCATTTTCTGATTTTCTCGCGGAAAGAATCGTTGACACTTCTCGACTGCGATATTCGTAGCCTTCGATTATCTAGGCCAACGAAGTGGAATTGCGCCAGCGTGGATGATGGTCCTCGACGAATAGTTTCTCCTTCACCGATCACTCTTTAACGTCGTTGGTTCGCTCACATGAATCATGGTCTCTGTACACTTCATGAACGATGCTACCATATACGCAGCAGCAATTGAAACTTGGCGTGTGTGAGAGACTCACTGGCGAAAATAATTCTCTTGCGCGTTAATATTCTCTTTAATGTACAAGTTGTCTCGTTATTTCCTTTTGCTACGTCGGTAGAAAACACCTAAGCGAGCTAACCACGCGGGAAACTCTCCCCTCTTCTCAGCAAAAAAGGGGAAGGTAATGAATATACACATATGTGTGTATATATATATATATAAAATAACTTCGCCTCGATTTCGAGTACCGTCGACCCGTGTGTTCCTCTCTCGTTCCCTCTACTCAAACCGTCGTCACGTACTCCCGCAACTCGGTAATCTCTGCCGTGAAGCTGTCGTTAGCGAACCACGGGTCCTTGTACTTGGGCGCCTCCTCGCTACGCGCTCTATTAGGGCCACGTGCCCGTTCGCGAGCACGCATACGAGGCACCTCCTCGCTTAACGACCTCTTCGTGATCCCCACAGTGACAGGGACCTCTAGCAGAGCCTTCGAACGCATCAGCTGCGGCCTCTGTCGGCTCTTTGGTTCCTCGCTAGCCGCTCGAACGATCACAGTTGGTGGCATTAATCTATCGTCGTTCTGATGGCTGCTCTCCGATCTAGCTCTCAGAGCTTTCTTCTTCGACAAACCGCGACCCTTTACTATGCTCTTCCTTTGAACAGGTGGAGGAGAATACTGTTGCGATCTCTGCCTCTTCACAGGCGTAGTTGGCACCTGAGGAGACCAGACAGGCGGCGACAAGTCTACAGGACTCGGTAACTTTCTCGGCGGAGTCTTCTCCGGAGATTCGTCTTTCCAGCCACCTTGGTAGATAGGAAACGCCGACACCTGATTCAGAATTCTCCATCGGAAGTCCTCGTCGTCGCTTCTACACGGCGTTGCCTCCGGCGGCGGATGGTGCGTAGGTGTTACGTTGTGAAAAGGTGACCAAGATTTCTGTTCTTCGGGTTCTTGAACAGCGAAACTACCACCAACGCCACCACCTTCAGGCGGCGATGCATCGTACGGAGTCCATTTGATCTCGCTGATGTGCTTCGGCTCGCGTTTCTTGATCCCTATCGTTGGCAGAGGGGAAGCATCCTCGTACGGTGTCCACTTTGCATCGGTGATAGCGATCTCCGGGGATATCAACCTTCTGATTATCCTGTTGTCCAGTTTGCTCATCTGACGAGGATCTGGTTCAGGTGACAAGCTCCTTCTGATACTGTACTTCGGTCTCTCCTTCAGACTCTTGCTCTTGAAGCCTTCCGTAGAGTCCTGACTCCGCCATTTCGATTCCTTCTTCTCCACAGGCAGAGAGAAGTGCGGTTTCATCGCCCATTTTGGTCTAGACTTCTTCACCTCGTCAGGACTGGTCACCTTCTCCTTCGCTCCCCATTTCTTCGACGTCTGACTGTCCACTCTCGCGTGTGAACGTTCCAACTTCGGTCTCTCCCTGATCCTCTCTGTTCTCACTAGCCTTGTGTCCCCGCTGGTGTGCTTCTTCAGTTCCGGCTTCTCTGGCACCGTTTGCGCAACTGGCTCGTCTTTCCTTTCCACCGTCAGCGACGTCGAGAAGTACAGTTTCTTCTCCGGCTCCTGTACGACGGCGGGAACAGGTACAGGCATCGGTACCGCAGGTTTCTCCGGTTCTTTTAGCTCCTTCGGTTCGGCAGGTGGCGACGGTGACAGGACTTTCGACTTTGGACATGTACACCTAGGTTTCGGATTAGGTAACACCTCTGGAACCTGCAGCCACCTCGCCTCTCTCGCCATTCTCGTGTCGTCGCTGCTGTGCTTTCTCAGATCGTGCATCGGTGTCTTCAGATAATCCGGCTTCACCGACCATTTGTCCGTTTCCGCGCTGTGATGCTTCCTGAGATCGCCACGTTGCACGTCGTGCGGTTTCTTCTCCTCGGGCGTGAGGCTGTGACAGCTGCATTTCGTCTTCCTCGCTAGGTCTAGATCGGTGCTCGAAGTGTGCAGAGCCCATCTAAACTCGGTTCCTTCGCCGGCGCGTTTCTTCAGATCCCAGAACGCGTGGTCGGGAGAGAGATAAGGACTACTGCCGCCATGCCATCTAGAATCGGTGCTTCGATGTTTTCGTAGATCACCACGATCCCTGAGAGTTCCAGCGTCGACCGTGTCGCAGCTGCACGTTCTCTGGGACGTCGGTGTTCTCTGTGACTCGAGTGGCGCCGGCTCGATAGCGTCCAGATCCTCAATCGTGTAAAAGATCTCCTCGCGACGCCTTTGGCCGCAGGACGGGCAACGTCCGCTCGGCTCCCCATCGTCGCGGCTAGGTCGATGATGATGATGGTGCTGATGAGGCTGTCGATCCAACGTTGACGTTGACGTTGAAATCGACACCGTTAGGTCATGCTGCGAGGGTAGCTTGTAGTGTCTTTTCGTCGCAGCCGTGCCTGATGATGTGCACCAGCAGGCCTGAGTAGTTCCGTCATGCCTCCTTGGTGGGTACCACGGCTCTGGAGACGATGAGGTTCCGCTCGAAGCTGTTACCAATCACAGTACCTCGATCTCCCGCTCCACCGGTCAGAGTTCCTCGGTCACCGGCTCCGCCAGTCAGAGTTCCTCGATCTCCAGCTCCACTAGCCTAGTGTTTTTTTTTTTCGGCAATAATTCCGTACAATTAACGTTAAACTAAACGTTCAACTTACTTAACACACGCGTTCACTGCCACGCCAGATTTACATGTTTCGCTCACGGGGGCCACGTGGAAATTTTCACTATTCTAACCATGCTAACGTGATTAACTTTACTCAGGATGTTACCAAGCGGTTTATTCCAAAACTATTTTACACGTAGGTGCTTTCCGAAGGTAAGCAAGAACTGTCCTCAGGACGAAAGGCAAACGTCTCGTATGGGTTGAACCGATGGGAACTTGGGTCTGGTCTCTGTCACTCGCCAAGAGGAGCATGCCATGCCATAAACCGTCACAAATGCCTACAGTATTATTATTATTATTATTACCTTTTAAAAAATTCGAAATAAGCGTCTAGTTAGCTACGATGTTGGCAATTTTTTATTTGAACTATTCTAAAGATTTCAGGCCCTCTGGTCACCGATGATCACCGTGGCGCCCCATCGGGGGAAACAGGTCACAGGTGAGCAACGTGGCAGTCGACGTGTTGAAACAAAGGTAACAAACGAACGATATCAATTACCTTCAGCTCGGTGAAGACCTCCGTGAAGAATCCAGGTTCGCTGTTGATTCGCAGCATCTCGGAGCTAAGTCGGTTAACGATCAGCAGGCACCTATCCCAGAACTTGTCTTTGCTATCCTCGACGAGGAAAGGTTTCAACGGGTAACTGATCTCGTTTCCCATGTAGCTGTAGCTCAAGTACAGGCACGTTAACACGGTCGCTTGGAGCTCCTTCTCGGACGCTTCGCCTCCATCGACCAGATCTCTCACCAGCAGATAAACGAACACAACGTTGGCGGGATTGATGAACGCGACATCCTGTCGAGAAATCACTCGTATTAATAGCAACGTCGAGACGATCGATCTAACGATAGGTGCGAACTAGAAACTTCTTCAGTTTCCTTTACAATATCCAACTTGAGGAATTTTGTCTACGCGGATTGTAGGTGGGTAGGAAAGTGTGTTCAACGACGAACCAAGGGTAAAATCGAGTTCCTGCGAGGACAGAGGGTCGGAGAGACATTCGATGCGAGTCGACCGCAGGGGAGAACGCGGTATTGTTCTTCCGCGGGTGAATTCGGCGAAGCCAAGTGCTTCTTTCTTCGCCACCGTAGCGTAGACGATACTCTCCGACCGGTAGAAAGGGATGATTCACACGCGGTGTCGCGTTACGTGTCACGTTTACCAAATTGCAATCGGCTTCGTTTCGTCGCGCCGGCGAAACCACCGTTTCGTCGCTCGTCCTCCTTATCAGAGAACGGAAGGTTCTACCTTTTTGCGGCCAGTGGTTTTATCGTGTTGACTTTCGCGGCTGTTGCTTTGGGACAGCGTGAGCATTGTTTCGACGGAAAAGCTAGGGAAAAGGTGTCATTTTTTTTAGTTTAAAAACAGCGAATATCTTGTGGGAGATGAGAGGACAGTGACCTCAAATACTGTCTCGTTTTTAGACGCGTTCATTGATCTGTTCGTAGCGGAAGCGGAAAATATTTCAACGAAAATCCAAGGAAATTCTAGAGCGACGATATAATGGTCTTACCGAAAAGAAAAAAAACGTGTAAGGCGCTTAGGTTCCTCTTTTATCAAATTTAAAGGTACGTTGGAAATACCGATCTAAATTATAAAATTCGACACGAACTTACGACTAATATGATTTCTTAACGTCTACCTTTGTTTTTTTTTTTTTTCAGTTTTGTCATCGAGACAGACTGGAATAGTATCTGAAACAGTCGAATAGCAGGATGCGGTGTTTTCAACGATCGTGTCCAAGTCTGTACAAGCCGCAAGACACATTTAGACATCTACATCTTCGCCCTAATAAAAGAAATTCCATTCGCCCTATCTGTCTTCCACCTATGCATTAAACAGAGGTGCTAATTGCGAACATCTCGACACAGATCTATTTCAGATCGGCGTGTGCTAAATATTAGCGATCGTGGCAGGTTCTGTCCAGTTCTGGCAGCTGTCCTTTACGGGAGCTTTTCAGTTCTCCTTGCTCTAGAAACCGAGTCCTCTGAGTCATCGGTGAATTAGAACGGTTCGATCCGATCCAACCAGAGAGAGAGAGAGAGAGAGAGAGGCAAAGTGCATTGGCTCGTTGAGTGCTGGCCAGGACACTCGCGACTCGCCGTCCATCGACTTGAACGCGCATACAAGGGCGACGCTGATCGTGTGGGTGCATCCGTCGTGCTTAATGCACTTATCTCGCGCGTCCACCTAATTTACACGTGCTCCCGAGACACCGAGATACTTGATACATTCTTGTTGCTGTGACAAACACGCTCTGTCCAGTGATATTCTGATTTCACTGCGGAATTTTATTTAAAAACGCTCCGACGATATAGGAAATAATCGACAATAAGAGACAACTTTGTCTAATGTCTCTTTAACGATTACGACAATTAAATGAAAAATTTTCCCTAAATTTTCAATACTCTCGTTGCAATTATCAACCCTTTGCAATCGAGTGGCGACTGAGAGGCGGTGTTAAATAATTAATCAGATCTACGAGCCTCCATAAATTTATTCGCCATAGTGAAGTAGAGAATACTTTAAAGAAAATAGTTTGAAAAAATTTCAAACAAGATCCGATTTGCCACCTTTCAAAGGGTTAACATGCACGTAACCCTGGCAGAAAAAGAAGTCGTTTTATGTGTATTAAAACTGTTTTATCCGACAGTGATAAAACGTTTAGAGAATTTTTGAATTCCGTTTCATCTACAGATCCACGCGGCCTTTCTTCGTCTAATTACAACGAATCCCTTGTGATAATTAAAAGCGTGGTACGGCGATGATCAGAGGCAGGGCGGTGTTTCCTGCCGGCCGAGGGTTAGAACGCAGAGGGAGGCTGCACCTCGCAACGCTGAGGCACCGCGGTGACCCGGCAGGATCGATGCTCCCGATACACGCTTTTCCCTTAGCTAGCGGCGATTTTGCCAGCCGCGACGGTTGTTGCACCTCCGCCACCCTCTTTAGGCGCGTTACGCGGCGCGGAGCAAAGCGCTCGCACACGAACGCGCCCCTGATGCGGCTAGAAATATCCACCAGGGACGTCGACACCTGGATGCTTGGTGGAAAAGAAAACTGAGAGCAGTTCGAGCGTTAGAGATCAACCTAGCGGAAGTTGTCGTTGAAAGTGGTCGGAGGTTCTTTTCTCTTTAACATCAATTACACAGTCTAGCTTCACAGAGTCTCCTACTTCAATCCTTCTGTCAGTAATACCTTCTAACTGGCAATTTTACAATCTAGATCAATATTTTTAAGGAACTTTTCAGTTCGATGGAAAAGAACCTAAGCGTTTTCTCACGTCACAACTTTTTCCAGGACCATCGTGTCGTCGCTGTAAAATTTCCTTGGATCTTCGTTGAAATATTTTCCTCACCGGATCACCTAATACAAAAGAATCTTCATCCTTCTGATATCATCAACACCGTCAGGTTCCTTTTGCGAACGAAGGAGACTACTCTGTTACCAAGAAGAGGGAACAACTAAATCCCTCGAACTTCCAAAAGAGACAAAACCGTCCTCCCCGTTTATTTAACATACAAAACATCCTACCGTATCGCGGTATTATTAGCCACTCTATTTCCGTTTTCCAGGACAGATAATAGCTTTCGATATTAATTGGCCATTCCGTATCGGCGCTTGGTCACGCCGCGAGGGGTGGCTGCTAACACGGCAAAGGTGTCGCGGGATTTATTTTTAAATATAAAGACCTCATTCAGGCATGTGACGATATACGTCCGTGGTGCTTCCACGTGTCTTCCTCCGCTCACAGAGGCCACCTGCTTGGCTGTAACGTGGCTTGTGAGTAAAGCCTTCGAGGTTCGTTTAAAGCGACGAACGACACACAGCAGCTACAGTTCAGCAACACAACCGCCTCCGCTATATATACACACTCACACATCTATGTATATGTATATTCATTCCGGTCGATATTCGCCAGGGGTGAGCGGCCTGCACCCCTACATGGACCTCCGCAGCCGCGTTTTTCATCAGCTTATCGAAGATTCATCGGGCTCTAATTGAATTTTCGAGACGCAGAGAGACCGTACACCGCCACCGTCACGGCCTGTAATTCGACCGTTTCGAGAACCGCCAGCACAGGTACACGAGCTTTTACCTCCAATCAACGAGCGGTCGCATTGATCCGCGCGAAAGTGTCTCTTTGATGTTCCAACGCGTCCCGGGGACCACTCCCCTGCGTCTAATCGAATCGACGCTCTGCTTCTGACGCGCTCCTGCAGACTATTTTTGCGACGGACGCCGAAGGCGGGGAGGCTCGATAAAAATTCTCTTCTCTTAACTCTTAACGCAATTTTTTCTTTTTTTTTTTTGTTTCGTCAATAACACCGCATATCCGTGGAGAGTAGAAGATCGCAGTTTCGAGTAATCGTGCCGAGGTAGGAGTAGCGAATAGAGAAATTGGCTAGAAAATATACTTGCCGATGATCCACGAGACAGTTATTTTCCGAGATTTACCAGACATGTGATCGTGACGCAGAACGTTAGGCGAATTGAACTTCAATCTAGGGATAAACGTGCACGTCACCTGTGTCAACCGATTAGTCGGCACGTTTCCACGGGAATTCGTAGCCGGTTTATTTGGCTTCATGTCGACATGAACAGGATATCGTATCTTACACGTGCTCGCTTTGCAGGTAGAGCACAAGCAAACCACACGTTGCGGCCACGGAAAACGATTCCATTGATATGGTTTCTCCTCTAACGGGATTCTCCGCAATGACGTTCAAGCTTCTTCTATTTACCGTCTAGACGAAGTGGATTAACTATTTCCGAGTTAAACGGTCTACGTGTTGCTCCTGCAACCAGGTGTTCTCCAACGACGAAATCGAACGAACGATATCTTCTTCTCTCTTGCAAACAGCGTGCAAAAGCTTCTCGACGGTTCTCCAGAATTGGAACTGGAAATTTGGCAATGCCTCGAGAAGAGAAGATTACGCGAGTCTAAATAGGAAAGGCTGTTACAGCAGATAGGACAAAACTCGGTTACCTAATCTTGATTCATAGGATATCGCGATCGTAACCTTGGAAGTCTCGCTGTTAACTGGAATTACCCTCAACTCTCGCGTAATCGCATTAAGAGGATCCGCATTCTACTTGTAATTTATCGTCTCGAACCGCGACTCTACTCTGTATTTTTACCGTGTAATTGGAAAGATGGACTGTCTTTGCTT